AATTAAAATAAGACCAAGCACGATATAATTTTTGTAAGAAAATTTTTTATGAAAAATATAAATATACTTTTCATATTAATATTAACTTAAATATTTTAGAAAACCTCTACAAACTAATATACAGGGTGTCCCAAAATTACTGGTACTTCGGAGAAATGTGGAATTGTTGAGATCATTTGAAGTAACTTTTTCCTTAGCAAAATTACAATCCGCGGTTTCGTTCACGAGTTATTAACGAAAAATAGTGATCAATGAGAGACGAGCTCGGTTAGCACGAGGCGGCCGAGCCAGCAAGCGGTTGAAGCCTGATTCCGCACATTGGCTCGGTCGCTTTGGATTAGGCGTACTCGCCTCTCATTGGTCAGTGTGTTTCGTTAATAACTTGGAAAGGAAACCGCGTATTGCATTTTCGCTATGGAAAAAGTTATTTCCAATGACCTCAGGAACCCCTAATTTCTTAGGGTTACCATAATTTTGGGACACCCCGTATATGGCTTTCTTCTAAGTGTGTCTTTTGTGGGGTGAGCCCGGACTCTCCGGGCTATACTTTATTTTCTTGTCCATACGTCGAAACATATTTAGGTCCTTTTCGCGACAACAGGACGATCAATATCTACGGCCGCTGTGCGTGAAATGTATTCCCCTCCTCGTTAGAAAAAGATGATATGAGCGCTAACAAAAATTATTTTCTGTCCTGAGGACTGAATGGAAACAAGTACACAAGACTGAATATAGATTATTTTCCAAATTTGAAACATGGCTCAGAGAATCGATAAGCTTTCATCACCTTTAACGAAGTTTTTTTAACAAGGTTGGCCTTTGAGACGAGTAGGATGCGATACATCGGAAAAATGTTCAATTTTTTGACTTTAAAAATCCAGTTAAATTCAATTTTGTGACACCTTTGTTACGTTATTTTCCACCAAATCGAAGGTGAAGTATCGATCGAGCATAGTTGTGACACTTATTCTTGTACACCCTGTACAAGCAAGTTTTTACAAATAACGCAATATTAGATGC